AGCAAACAAGCTTTAGCCATAATTAGGGTGTTCCTAATTATGGCTAAAATTTGTCCAAAAAATCTACTTAAAAAATTAACCATACTAAAATCGAGTAAAATTTTTACTATAATGTTAACTGTCAAAATGGCGTCGATAAAGCAACGCCTTTTTTACCCTTTATTTGATTGACTGACGAAGAGTTGTCGTAACAACAAAGTCATCTACGCAAACAAGGCTGTAGTTTTTGAGTTATAACGAAGTGACCATATTAGCCGGATGACCATATTATCTTAATATAATATTTGTATACATAATGGTTGAATGCAGCGAACATCATTTTTAAAGATCTATTCTGTCTCCTGTACCTGTATTCACAAATAAATAAATTTGAATTTGAGTCAGTCATTCAGAGGTATTTCACTATAACCACTACTAGTAAGCTGAAAATGTTTGTGGTTAGGAACAAAAAAACTTCTGTTTGGTTAAAATTCTACTCTCTCGAGTATACAAGAAACGACTTATATTTGCCAATATTGGCTGAAAATTAATAACTTTATATACGAAACTTATAAAATCTTTTAACATTATATAAAGTATCTAAACACTTATCCTAAATGATTTTTTTATTATTTACATTATTTCACAGTGAGACTAGGTATGAGAGTAGTTTTTGGTATTATTACATCTGTCAGAAATATTTGCGTACCCCGTTTTTAGTAAATGCTCCTAAGATAACTCTTTATTACTCTAATCATATTCATAACGCACATTCTCAAACTCTAATAGATCATTACTTATATCTTTCGTTTTTTATTATATTTCGTTTTGTTCGAAACTAAGTAATTATTTCTATATTTACCGTCAAAACTATGTAATATTTACGGAGTCAGTTACGAGCGGTAATTCTTATATCATAATAATAAAATCGAGTTTATTTTCATCTCAAATTACACTCACATAATATATGTGACTAATTGATCTTAATGAATAATACGTGCTTGATTATATTTAACTAGAATACAAGAGGTCTCCATACTAAAACATTAGAATTTTATAGGCAATATAATGTAAATAGTTTTGACATAGTTATTACTAAGACTTAGCTTCGCGATGATATTTTAGATGGTGAACCCAGTGACTCTGGATATGATATCTTTCGGTTGGACCGTGATCATACTTCCACGAACATGTCTCATTAATGACAGAGGGGTTGTACCACCGACGGAAATGATCAGGTTTCCATGCCTACTAAGTCTTTTAATTCGGTCGTTAGCTCTAATTTACATGTTGCTGCTATAGTTAATTTACACCGGGCTGTTTTCTTAGTATCCCCGAAGAAGTCCAACAGTACTTCGATGTTGTAAGCAACTTTAGGGTGTGATCCCTGTGTGCCGAGATCTTTAGCGCTGTATGCAGCGACCTCCGGACACGTCATCAATACGTGGGCCGCCGTTTCTTCCTCCCCCATACATGCTCTGCACAGGCGACTAAATGTAACACCCACGGTAAATAAATGTTTGTTAAAGGTGTCCTGTGATAGCACTTGTTACTATCCTGATGCTTGATCAGTCTCGTTAAAACATTGGTTAAACTACTGTTTATTTCAGGCAGAGCCTCCCTGGCTTGTCTACAGTCTGCTGGGTAGGATCTCCTACTACTAAGTAACTAAAACTACTAAAACTATTACTATTTAAGATTTATACAGGAAACTTATAATTGACTGTTATAATCATTTATGAATTAAGAGTTGTTGGTTTTCTAAATAAATAATCGAAATGCTTAGATATATACTTAGATATTACCACATTATATTCAGAAATTATTATTTGTATATTATGATTATTAATTATGTTAGTTGTTTGCAATTTGTACCTAAAATATCTTCTCTGCTTATCCTTAAGATAGGCTGGTAGTAAATGTTATATGCTAAGCCACGCGAGACTAGAGGAGTCATTACTTATTTCGGTGTTTTCTCGCCACTACGTCGCGCGATGTGTGTAGAGCAGGTATATAAAAAACCGAGATGAGGAGAGCTTATTGAACCTCCACCGCCACTCTTGTTCTGTGAGCGAAATGCTCAAGTACCTCTCATTATGTCCTCACGACCTGAAGGTTAATGTATGTATAGCGTTAAAAATTCGGCTAGCAATCATCAATTATAATTACCGTCAATGACTGTCTGCCATTTAAATCTAACACAGAGTAAAGTAAATAGTATATCTATAAGGTGCCACTGGCTGTTAAAATATTAGTTTCAAACCCTTTTTACAGAGAAGTACTATATATTGACTTAATTGCAGACATTTAAAGCATTTACGTCGTAGAGCCACGCTGCAATTGGTATAGTTGTATCACGAATGGGTGGGCCGACCGGGGTAGGATCACGCTCTCACAGAATACCAACTTAAAATAGCAGCTTAACGCTGCTGTGTTTCGTATGTTGAGTGTAGAGAACCGGATAGTCTTTTTACTGGAATCTGGCATTCCATCTTATTCCTCAGGGTACCTTAGTGACAATGCGTCTGCATTTAAATTCTTAATTGAGGATTATTGTGGATGGCTATGAGCCATTACATCCACTTACTATGAGGTCTAATGTATGCTCGTTTGTCACCCAATGCTAGTAAAGTAAAAAGTAAAACATATTACGTATGTATTCATGTCAGTATTTGCGAACAGGGAACAATTTTAATAAAAAAAGAAAAATCGTTGAAATCTAAAATGGAATTGTCATTAATATTTATGGTTCATAAAATATAGCTTGATCTCTGCGACAGCTGTAGTAAAATCACGCCTATGAAGTCCTGAATTTCTTAGTAGTATTACTATGCCCATAAAGTATTACATTGACAGGTACTGTCTGTACTACTAAGAATTGGAGGACTTCATAGGCGTAATTTTATTGACAGCTGTCGCAGAGATCAAGCTATCTTTTATGAACTATAGAAAATATTTGCAAGAATAAGAAAAGTTAAAAAACAATTTTTAACTCTTCTTATTCTTGCAAATATTTTGTCTATGTAAAAACATATGCACAAATCAAAAAGTGTTGCTTAGAGTAATTACAAACATATATTTATTTATTTAATCTTCATTGTAATACATCTTAATCTAATGGATGGACCCTCAGAAAAATAAATAAAAGTTGGTAGGTGCTAACAAAAAATATTATAGACTAGACATATAATGTAAATAAACATAAAATATATACGTATACACACTAATTAATAACGAAATAATATGTTATTGTACACATATATATTATGTACGTTTACATGTATTATATATATGCGTATAAATTATGTGTATTTATTTTTATTGCGTTTATATATATATATATATATATATATATATATATATATATATATATATATATATATATATATATTGTGTATACATGTTATACATGTTATACAACACGTAACATAATTAACGCACTTTGAGAAATTAGTTTGTTCAGAATGTTATGAACTATTCTTTTTTAAAGGTAATTTTTTATCCCAAAAATAATTAAAACTTCGTAAATTACAGTCACACTAAATCTTTACAGTCAAAACAAACTGAAATGGACCGTAACTTAAGGCAATAAGACTTTTAAGAGTGCAGTTTTATTTGTATTATTACTAATTCTGTCATTCAATAAAAATAAAGAAAAATGAACGTTATTTCGGGCACGTTAAAGTCTTTGCGTTCGTTGATTTGTACTGTGACCACAACATTCTTCCGGAATTAGTATAACTAATTTGATAAATAATCAGTGCATAAAAATGTTTCACTAAAAATCAGTGTGTGTATTATGATTATAACATAATATACTAATTGGGGTGTCTGAGGGTGTACGTTAATTACGTTACACACACACACACACACACACACACACACACACACACACACACACACACACACACACACACACACACACACACACACACACACAAACGCACGCACGCACATACGCACGCACGCACGCACGCACGTACGTACGCACGCAAGCACGCACGCCACGCACGCACGCAAGCACGCACGACGCACGCACGCACGCACGCACTCACGCACGCACTCATGCACGCACGCACGCACGCACGCACGGACGCATGTACGCACGCACGCACGCACGCACGGACGCACGCACGCACGCACGCACGCATGCACGCACGCACGCACGCACGCACGTAAGCACACACGCACGCACGCACGCACGCACGCACGCACGCATGCACGCACGCACGCACGCACGCACGCACGCACTCTACATCTGTGTTCATTTCAACTTGCAGCCGTTCCACAGCGCGTCTGCTCAGGGCCTCCTGGTACTGATTTCTCAGTTCCAGGTTGGCGGATATCCTCTTGGTGTTCCTCATTTTAGACTCCTCCACATCGCACGGGAGCGCCACGTCGAGTAGCCACGGAAGATGATCAGATCCAACTTCTTCCAGTTGTCTCGTCCTACAGTCTAGTTGCTGCTGGGTGACGGTCTCGAGGGCAGGCCAGTGTTAACCAGATAGCACAGTCCTTGAGCAATTGCGTCCCTGACTGTGACTCCCAGGCCTCTATCTCTTGAGTGTAGTAGTTCTCTCATACGCAGGTTGAGATCGCCAACGATGATGGATGGCTCGTCTAGTAGGGTCTCCTCGAGCTCAACGATCAGATCACTCTGGTCAGGAATTCGAAGTCCCTTGATTTTGATGTACTCCCCTGTTGAGTGATTGGTGTAGAGTTTGATGGCCACTCCCTCGATGGTGCGTCGCTCGTCACCTCCGTCTCAACCCAGCGGCAGCCTCGCCGGACGTACATGGCGGTAACCAGGTGTGGTTCAATAGCGTGATAGATCTTGTCATAATCTGGGATATTGAATCTGTTCGTCTCGAAGTTTATCCTGCACTCATTGATCACGATCACCGAGGGTCGGTGCTTCTGCGCCAGATTTTTTAATCTCATTGAACTTTTTTTGTATACTTTGCGCGTTTAAATGTAATATGCGCACACCTCTCATTTTCTTTTTCTCCGCAGGTTATCTACTATCCATTAACAGTGGTTGCAGTTTTGGCTCTATTGATTGTGAGTAGTTCTGTCTTCAGGCTTTTCATTTCGGTTCTCATGTTGTTTACTTCAGCTACCACATAGTCCATGCGTTGGAAGATGGCCAGCAGGATGTTCGGCTGGTCCGTGGACGCAGTTAGTGCTGTCTGCCTTGGTGGTGACGGACGCGTGGGGCCGAGCTCTTCATCAGTGGTGATCGAAGTGCTCGAGGCTCCCAGATGCGGCAACTCCTTGTTGCTTCTCAGAGCTTGCGAGAAGGTAGTCTCCTTCCTGACCCGCGCAGCTTCTGATCTTTCCTTGGCCTTAGCCTGGTGGTCCAGCAGGAATCGCTCTCTGATGGTCAGCTGTTTCAGGAACGCAGGGCAGTTAACCTGGTTGGCTCCATGCCCCTCGTGTTTGCAGTTGGAGCATACCGTGATGGTAGCTCCCGTAGCTGTGACCGTGATCATGATTGGTGCCGTAGCACAAGTGCTTCGTATGGTCGAAGGCATAACAATTCTTACACTGGTTAATATGAGCTAAATTATCCATGTGTAGCAGCCAGATTAATCAAACCTAAACGGGAATAAATAATATATACTCCGCTGCTACCATAACGCGGAAGGCGAGAATAAATAAAAAAACATTTTATTTCCTAATTATTCTTGGCTACTGAGATACTGCGGACTGTATATAGATAATTTGACGTTCTTATAAAGAAACAAGAAGCAGCCGCAAATATCATTCAGCGCCACACCGACTTCACACGCCGCTATCGTCACGTATCCGTCGACCAATGGTGAGCCGTTTCTTCAACGCCGCAGTTCGTTTCCTCTTGCTGTTCCGGAGCTGTATTCCACACCGCCGCCGCCCGCCGACTACGCGTGCGCACCGATCTGCATGTCTTATATAGCCCGGTCCAGCGACGTAGCTTCGTGAACAACAAACAAGTCTCACGCCGGGAAACGAAACGTAGATAATTGTATATTTTAAATAGTTTTCATTGGTCATAAAATAAGCAATATAATTGGCTAGGCAAAATATTAATTGTTACCATTGGCAAATCAATAGTGAGCCAGCCATATAAATATAGGCAAGGTTGATGCAAAATATATTCCATTCCGATCCCATTCGACAGTACATTCTAAATTCATACTCCGCTTTGCTTATAAACAGTAGTTTCATTTCTCCACCTTAAAGAAAACCACTCGGAGTCTGTTAATAGTGGACAGTTCGTCTCCACTATTACAGTGGTGACCCCGTACGAACACCGAGGGGGGAAGATCCGGTACGAACACCAAGAAGGAACACCCTGCGACGTACCACTACTATTGCACGAACACCGCGAAGGAAACCCGTACGAACACCGAGAAGGAAGACTTCAGTTTATATAAAATCAGTGTAATCAAGCCGTCATTATGGAGCAGGAGGCAAACACATATACATCAAACCCGGTAAAGGAACCAGAAATCGCCGGTATATCTCTATCGTTAAGAATACCACCGTTTTGGAGAGACAAACCACGACTTTGGTTCGTCAGTTTTGAAGCCGCAACGAATGGTTTAAAGAAGAGCCAAGCGCAATTAGCACAGATGGTGATAGCCCAACTTGAGAAACAAGACATCGAACAAATTGCGGACCTGTTGTACAACCCACCAGCAGTCGACCAGTATAATTCACTGAAGGATCGTCTGATCTCCGCATATGAAGAATCCGACAGTCGACAGCTACAAAAACTTCTATCAGAAATAGAACTTGGAGACCAGAAACCCACACAACTCCTACGCAAAATGCGTACTTTGGCGCGAGATAAAGTTCCGGATTCAACACTACGGCTAATGTGGGTAAACCACCTACCACCACATATTCGATCGGTAATAGCAGTCAGCGAAACATTCAGCACGCAGACGAAGCTCGACGAACTGGCACTCCTGGCGGACAAGATGATCGAAAACAGCAGTAGCTCACACATATCGATCATCGAAGGCACTTCAACAAAGGCCAATGATACCCAGTTTCTTCTCGAAGAAATTCGGAAGCTATCATTCGAAGTCGCCGCGCTCAAAGCTTCCCAGCATCATACCTTTTACCAGCAACAGTACAACCAGCGCAATCAGCAACACCGAAGATCACCTTTTCGTCGCAACCGCTCTGCAAGTAGAAGTCGAATAAGCTCAACATCAAGATCCCCTTACTGCTACTATCATCGACGTTTCGGGGTCGAGGCAAGAAAATGCACAGCACCGTGTACATTCAAAAATGAAAATACGAATACGGAAAACTAACTAGTACGCTCGATGCGACGGGATCCAGCGTAACAGCAAAGTCCTACCGTCTTTTCGTCACCGATAAAAAAAGCAAGCTCACTTTCCTTATCGACACCGGAGCAAATATCTCAGTGTTACCGCCGAAGCAAGGACAGAAGTTGAAGCCACTAGATTTTCAACTCTATGCAGCAAACAATACGGTTATTCCTACATATGGAGAAAAAACAATGGAACTTGATTTTAATCTACGCCGACCATTCAAATGGAGATTTATCGTCGCTAAAGTCAGCAAACCAATCATCGGTGCTGATTTTCTTCAACATCACCAGTTGGTCGTCGACATCAAAAATAGAAGAATCATCGACGGGAAAACCAATCTTGCATCTCAGTCTTTTGTACAAGCAACCAATCTGCCCACAATAAGAAGCATAGATGTGCAACAACCGTATCACAAGATCCTCGAAGAATACCCTGGTATCACAAGAATAACTTCAATGAAATTAACACCGAAGAACGACGTTGAGCATTTCATCGACACCAATGGACCACCACTTCATTGTCGTGCACGTCCAATCGCACCACACCTATACGAGCAAGTTCGAAAGGAATTCGAAAACATGATTGAGCAAGGAATATGCCGTCCAAGCAAAAGCCCTTGGTCATCACCACTTCACATTGTACCGAAGAAGAACGGAGAATTACGAGTTTGTGGAGATTACAGAAGACTGAATTCTATTACCACTCCTGACCGCTACCCAATACCGCGAGTCAGGGATTTCACTCATCAACTATCAGACAAGACTATATTCTCCACCATCGATCTCAACCGAGCTTACCAACAAATAAGAGTCCGCGATGAAGACATAGAGAAGACAGCAATAATTACCCCAATGGGATTATTCGAATTCCCAAGAATGATCCCAGGATTAAAGAACGGAGGTCAAACTTTCCAAAGATTCATACACGAAGTACTTCATGGACTGGATTTCGTTTTCGCATTTATTGATGATCTCCTTGTTGCAAGCCCTGATAAAGAAACGCACGAAACCCATCTACGCACCGTGCTACAGCGATTAGAAGACAACGGAATCACAATCAACCCTTCGAAATGCATATTTGGACAGCAAGAAGTTCAATTTCTTGGTTTCACCGTCAGCAAGGAAGGAATAAAACCGCCTGCCGAAAAAGTCAGAGCAATCATCGATTATGCAAAACCTAAAACTATCGAAGAGCTAAGGCGTTTTCTTGGGATGATAAATTTTTACAGAGAACACATACCTAAAGCCGCTGAAATCCAAGCACCACTTCACGCCTACCTTCACAACACGAAGAAAAAAGATAAAACGTCAATCGAATGGAACGATGAAGCCACGAAGGCATTTGAAGCTTGTAAAATTGCGATCCAAAATGCAGCTTTACTCGCTCACCCATCACACGAAGCAACCCTTGCTATCTTCAGCGACGCATCCGATCTCTCAGCAGGAGCAGTTCTCCAACAATACAGCAATGGGAAATGGCAACCACTTGGATATTTTTCGAAGAAGTTCTCCGATACTCAACGTAACTACAGTACATTCGACCGAGAGCTACTCGCTATTTACATGGCTATCAAGCACTTCAGAAAAACGTTCGAGGGTCGAAACCTGATCGTTTTTACCGACCACAAGCCATTAACATATGTACTTCCAAAGAAACCATCACTATCGGAAACACCACGAAGAGCAAGACAACTTATTTTCATAAGTGAATTCACGACCGACATACGTCACATCAGTGGAAAGGACAACATAGTTGCCGACGCACTCAGTCGCGTACCAATCGACAGTGTAACGTGCCCTACATCAATCGACTATCATAAGATCGCCGCAGCACAAGACAGAGATAGTGACAACATAAAACATCTATCGAAGCAAGGTAACTTGTCCATCAAGCAAGTTACAATGCCAATGACGCATCTACCTATATACTGTGAAGCCTCAACGACAACCATGCGACCATACATACCAGAAGAATGTCGTCGCGAAGTCTTCAATGCACTGCACAACATTAGTCATCCAGGTGTTAGAACAACAAGAAAACTCATCACTGAAAAATTCTTTTGGCCTGCAATGCAAGCGGATGTTGGCAACTGGGCGAAGCAATGCATTCAATGCCAAAAATGCAAAGTACAAAGGCATACATCAAGTAGTCTAGCTACATTTCCACCCACGGAGAGATTCGAACACTTGCACGTTGACATCGTTGGACCATTACCTACTTCACCGCAAGGACATCGTTATCTCGTAACAATGATCGACAGAACAACAAGATGGCCAGAAGCAATACCTACCGATGATACTTCAGCCGAATCCGTCGCGAAGATAATTTATGAAAATTGGATTACTCGTTTCGGATCACCTAAAACCATCACAACGGATCAAGGAAGGAATTTCGAAAGCAACCTATTCCTCAAACTTCTTCAAACTATGGGAATACAGAAGACGCGTACAACAGCATACCATCCTCAGTCAAACGGAATAATCGAACGATGGCATCGTACATTAAAGACTGCACTCAAAACTCGTTTATCTCAACATACAAAGTGGATTGATGAGCTACCTACAGTGCTACTCGGACTACGAGCAACACCGCGTGCAGACACTAGTCTTAGCGCCGCTCAGCTAACCTACGGCTGCAGCATAAGGCTGCCGTGTGACTTCTTCAGTTCAGCAGCGTCAAACAAACAAGAAATGGATTACGATTTCGTAACTAAACTTCGAGAATCAATTAACAAAGCCTTATCGTTGAAATGCACCGAAATGCAATCACACAGAAATAATAAATCAGTATTCATTCACCAAGATTTGAAAACATGCAAACAAGTTTTTGTAAGAAACGACGCAATGAAAAAACAATTTCAACCTACCTACGATGGACCGTATAAAGTATTAGAGAGAAATAGCAAGACTTTTAAACTACAAATACCCGGAAGGAAATCTACGATTATATCGATCGACCGACTAAAGCCTGCCTATATTATTAACGAGGATACTGCAGAGGATTCATCATCATCATCAAAACCACCAGCGAGGAAGCTTGAAACTTCATCATCTACATCAACCCAGTTGAAACCTATTTTAAAAACTACGAAATACGGGCGAGTCGTCAAGCCTCCGGTACGCTTTCGCTGGGGGGAGAGTGATGTAGCAGCCAGATTAATCAAACCTAAACGGGAATAAATAATATATACTCCGCTGCTACCATAACGCGGAAGGCGAGAATAAATAAAAAAACATTTTATTTCCTAATTATTCTTGGCTACTGAGATACTGCGGACTGTATATAGATAATTTGACGTTCTTATAAAGAAACAAGAAGCAGCCGCAAATATCATTCAGCGCCACACCGACTTCACACGCCGCTATCGTCACGTATCCGTCGACCAATGGTGAGCCGTTTCTTCAACGCCGCAGTTCGTTTCCTCTTGCTGTTCCGGAGCTGTATTCCACACCGCCGCCGCCCGCCGACTACGCGTGCGCACCGATCTGCATGTCTTATATAGCCCGGTCCAGCGACGTAGCTTCGTGAACAACAAACAAGTCTCACGCCGGGAAACGAAACGTAGATAATTGTATATTTTAAATAGTTTTCATTGGTCATAAAATAAGCAATATAATTGGCTAGGCAAAATATTAATTGTTACCATTGGCAAATCAATAGTGAGCCAGCCATATAAATATAGGCAAGGTTGATGCAAAATATATTCCATTCCGAATCCCATTCGACAGTACATTCTAAATTCATACTCCGCTTTGCTTATAAACAGTAGTTTCATTTCTCCACCTTAAAGAAAACCACTCGGAGTCTGTTAATAGTGGACAGTTCGTCTCCACTATTACACATGTATGGCTGAGCCTTGTTCTTCTTCGCGCAGAAGATAGTCCTCTGCGACGTGTCAAAGGCATGGAGAATATGTCTCACGGTGTATTTGTTTTCAAAGAGCAGTAGGTGTAGTCTGCAGATTTGCCAATTGGTTTGACTCTTAGTGGTGTAATCCCGATGCATCGGTTGATCTCTTCTGCGATCGCCTCCACCGTTTCTCCGAAAGTTTCATTCTTTATGACGATCTTGGTCGTCATTTTCCTCTCCCCCCATGGGTTTAGGGGCTATCACTCTGGCTGGATTAAGTTCTTCAACTTTCTTGAGGATATCTCTCCTCGCCTCTATGGATGATGGTGCGATGTATATCTGTTTCGCAGCTGATGTAATTTTTGAGTTAGTGGCTGATGTCACCTGTCTTACAGCTGTGAGTGCCTGGGTATTGGCACAGAGGTCTTCATCTCTGATCGTTATGACCGGGATGTGTGTCTTCTTAATTCTTTCCTTCTTTTAGATCACCCTGTTGTCCTCATTCGACGAACTAGATCGCGGTCTTTTCCTTTTGTTCGTAGCACCTGATGAAGTATTATCCTGGGCGCTTTTGTTATTTAAATTAGTTGCTACGCTGCATTGTTCTGCCGCTGGTGTATCGTTCTCGAAACCGTCCAATAGACTGAATTTATTATGTAGTGGCACGCTCGGCGCTACGTTTGCTTGTAGTTTCCTTATATGGGCAATCGCGCGATGTGATTGAGTCATGTTCTCATTGTCTTTTACTATGTTTGACCGCGCGGCGGTGGGGTGATGCAGTGGGCGGAGCATCGTGGCTCCGTCTCGCTCACAATGTTGCGCGATCGCTTCTCGCGCGTTCTGCTCTCCTAGTGGCGCACAGGGCGGGACCACGCCCTCGAACTCGAACATCCGTGGCGTACGTGACTGCGGCACAGCAACAGAGACGGCGCTCACGTGACGCGCGCCTCCGTCGGCGCGCGCAGGTGCGGTGGGGGGTACTGCAGCGTTGGACTTTGCACTGACGCCGGGCGCGGCCGCAGCGCTGTGGAATATTCCACCGCCTCCACGTTTCCCGCGTTTTTTTTCTTCACTTTATTGATACTGTTTAGTGCAGTTTTAGGATTGATTCTTGCACATTGGTCACTACCACAGTTTATGCATCTGTAGTGCTCTTCCGAGGTAAAGTCTAATTGGCTTATGGTGACGAATTCACGTATATACTTGCATTGTCCGCACACTCTGTTCGATTTTATTCCAGTCCTCAGTGGGGCCCGGTATACGGTTATTTCACTAAAAAGTTCTACGCTTTGTCCGTTAGTTCTTATTTTTGTGCTCACTGCAGCTTTCATTAGGAGGTCCAACTTACACTGTTCACATTTCACTAGTTTGGTATTCGCCTGGGTGGCACCCCAGGTGAGAGCGTCCAATCTGATGTCGCTTAGGCACTTATAACATTTAATTAATTTTTCCTTCATGGAAATCGGGTCCCTAATCATCTTGACGCTATTGTCCATTATTTCACTATTTGTTGCACTGTTCGTGTCCATAATTGCACCAGAATCACTTAATTGCCCAGTTTGGGCCATTGTAGCCCGGGGGATTGAGCCCCCCTTGAAGAACTATGCTCAGTGAGCTCAATGGTGTCTCCCAACGGATAGGCCTTAAGATGGACATGGACAAAACAAAGGAAATGCTTAACGTCCATGTCACACCTATACCGGTTGTTGTTAGGAGCACTATGCTATTATGATATATGCCTTGGTTGTTGACTTCAACGACAAAATAAGTGAGATCTAAATGGGTGCCAAGTTCAATGGTCAGCCCTGAAATTTATTTATAACAACATAAAATATCGTTCCTTCTTATAACTTAGGATAATATGTTGTAGCCTAAGGTCTGACTCGGCTAGTTTTCATATACGAATTATCATGTTCGATGGCTAGTTTTTACCAGTAAGCCAAATTTTTGGAATAATAAAATAAGAACCTACAAGTAACAGGTTTAGAACTTGCGAAGGCTATAATATAATTCTTATATGAAAACTAGCCAAGTCAGACCTTAAGCTACAATATATTATCCTAAGTTATAAGAAGAAACGATATTTTATGTTGTTATAAATAAATTTCAGGGCTGAACATTGAACTTAACACCCATTTAGGTCTCACTTATTTTGTCGTTGAAGTCAACAACCAAGGCATATATCATAATATTGAACTTGGTTCTCATTTCACATTTATGTTTTTGATGGGATATCACTACTTTTTGTACATAAATTATTAGTAGGTACTTATTTATAACAAAATTAATACCAAATGGTTTTTGTAAACTGCTGTATTTTCTACGTTTACAGGGTATATATTGTCTTTTTTGTGTTATTTTATCTAATAGTATCCGGAAATTTTTTCACGCATTTTCTGTTTATACTTAATTTGGCCAAGTAGGGGAGGTTTAACGTGCGCAGACGATTGTACTCTACAATAGAGCTCTCTTGTAACTTGATTTGACTTGGATCTAAATTGATAAGATGTACTCCATCTAAGGTTTTAGCTCTGGAGAGTCCAACGTAAGCCTGCCCTCTACTAAATATAGAGGAGCCTATGTCGAGAAGAACACTGTCAAGGCTAAGGCCTTGTGATTTGTGGATAGTAATAAGATATGCTTATTCCATGTGAGTATATATATTATTTAATATCTGAAACGGCGATCGCATGAAATAGGCAGCTTCCATCGCAAGACATTGGAATAATTCGGTGTAAGGTAAGTGTGTCACCCACCCGTAATTATATTGTACGAGTCCTTGTACAATATACGTAATAAAAAAAAATATTTAAGACGATTACATAACAAATTACCTGTTATCTATTGAATTCTCAAGAAAATTTGTTACCATACCAATAAAGTCTCTTCCTCACTCATTCAGAGTTAGGTATACGTACCTACTTATAACTGTACTAAAATCATTATTAATTTTTGACTTAAACTATTTCCTATACCATCTAGACACGCGGTGCGGCGGTACTTACTAAAAGAATTGTAATAATAATATAACCACAAATATATAAGTATTTTTTAAGAAAACCTATTCATTTCGTAGCATAAATCGCTACCTCATAGGTCAGATATCGAGAGACAACCGGACAGTAAAACGGCGCTCGCGTTTATGAGCGCCGCTGCCAGTGCCACCTGCCACTCACTCGGACTTCGGACACGTTAAGGTTTTATCGCACCGCTCCCACACTGCTCCTCCGGCGGCGTACCGCGCGCTGTGTACATGTTTCTAATAGAATCAATTAAGTGAAAAATTATAATAAACTTATAAAAAATAATTAGTTTCTGATTTTTTTCTTTTGTATTCACCTAATTACCTATCTGCATGCCAAATTTGAACTTTCTAGGTCATCTGGAACTGGGTTAGAGTTTTGATCTATAGGTCAGTCAGTGATAAAAATGACGATTTTTAGACGTTAATATCTAAATAACCGTTTGAGATGTGTTTACGATTGTGATTACGATTTGAAGTACAATCTTGCAAGTCTCAATATATGTGCCAAATTTGAAACGTTTATGTGAAATAGTTTTTGAGTTATGAGGGGGTCAAAAGTGGCTCCAAATGGTTCGTGTAATATTACACACGGTACGGCTCGCCGTTCTGCTTGAACTTGGCTTGACACGCTACCGCGTGTCTAGATTCAAAATGTAAGTTCTGATCACTGTGGAAAGTATCACAAGTTGTGCTTGTTCCAATAAATGAACATCGCTTACAAAGATTTAGAAGCAGTTCAGTGAAAAAGTTACAATTTCTTCCGTATAAAAACAATACTATTTATATGGCTTATTATTAAAACGTACAATTCTAGAATTTAATAATATAATTGATAAAATCAGACGTTACTTTGCGGAAATCCATTATAATAAAAATATTAATTAATTTGCAACCTTCCGCTAACTAAATACAATGATATGTCATACCTGGATTGAAGAGCACCTACCGCGCCCCCCTCAATTGCGTGCACCAATCTCGTCACCACTAATCCCAGCAACACTACTCCCAACACCACTACTCCCGGCACCACTACTACCAACACCAATATTCTAGGAAAGTAAAGATTAGCGGTCAGCCGCCGTAGGGTATATAATGCCAGACTTCTTCATAGAAAAGTAATCTCTATATATAAGTTTTTATGGGTTAAAGTGTTGTGGGTGGGTGCGACCTCATGAGACCACTAGGGATTTGACGGAATATGGCCGCGGTCTCATGAGACCGCTTGGGGGCTGAAGGGTTAAATTTTAACAATAATTTTACCAAATCAAATGAAGATGTTGCAAAGGCTTTTGAATAATATTATTATCACCAACATTCCGATCTTGACTACAAAGTTAATCAATTCCTCCCCCACTGTCGCTGAGTCATTACTCAAACAAAATGTAAATGTATGTAAAAAGAATTTGCATTTCACGAAATATTATCAGGTGGTCGCACCCTGACTTGCTATTATTTACAATGCTAGTATCGAATCAGGTGTGTTTCCTGATTTAATCGAACATAGTAAAGTTATACCTTGATTTAAATCTGGCAGTACATTGGACCCCACTAATTTTAGATCTTTATCTGTACTGCCAACGTTCAGTAAAATGTTTGAAAAAATTATTTTAGGTCAATTGGTAAGTTCTTCTAATGTAGATAAATTGCTTCATAAAAATCATTGTGGTTTTACCAGGAGTACTGATGCCGGTGTTGAGCTAGTCAAGCATATTTTATGTGCATGAGAGAATTTTGAAGATGCTTTGGGTATATTTTGTGATCTTTAAAAGGCTTTCGACTGTTTCATCATGAGACATTAATCACTCGTCAGGAAGATACATTATTATGGTGTAAAAAGTCTATTGCTTAAGCTTTTTAGGTCATATCTAAATAGTAGAACGCAAACAGTTGTTATTAATAGGACCAGTTCTTTCAGATCGGTAGTATCTATGGGTGTTCCTCAGGGCTAAATTCTTGACCCCATTCTGTTCTTAGTTTATATTATTGACTTACCTTAGTTGGTAGAGAATAACCATGATATAGTTTTATTCGCTGATAATACTTCGTCGATTTTTCGAGTTAAAAGACTATTATTGAAATATGACGGAGCGAATTAAGCTATATCAAAAATAGTACACTGGTTTAACGTTAATAATTTGATTTTGAATGGTAATAAAATAAAATGTATTAAATACACCACACCTAATGTTAAACAGCAAAATATCTTTTTAGGTTAGGTGTAGGTTTTGAATTGATAATCTATCAATCTTTTTTAGTATTGTTTCATTGTTTTCAATACAGCTATCGTCACGTAAGAAAAAAATGTATTATAATTTATACATTAATGTTGTTTGGCAAGGATTTATGGTATAATATGAAAGCCAATGCACTTTTAAATGGGGTCTTGTTGAATGTATTGCTTTTCTCGGAATTACAGTTGACGCGAAGCTTCAATGGGAACTTCATATATCTAAACTAGATAGCAAACTTACTTCTACAGCATATGCTGTAAAAAGATTATGGGCCTTATATGTGTTGAAACAGCTAGATAAGTTTATTTTAGCTATTTCCTAGCATAATGTCATATGGAATCTTGCTATGGGGTAATGCGACTGAGATAGAAACTTTATTTGTTTTGCAGAAAAGAGTCATAAGAGCAAATTATAACCTAGGTCCGATATAATTTCTTAGAGAAAGATTTAAAGAATTAAATACATTAACTTTGGTTTACCCAATATATTTACGAACATTTAATGTATGTACAGAAAAACTAAAGTAGTTTTATTAAAAATAGTGGTATACATTCTGTAAATACTAGGAACAAGCACAAGTTAGTTATACCAGTAACTCGACTCCAAAGAGTCAGTAATTCCTTAATGGCGCAATTTATACGCTTTTACAACAAAGTCCCAGAAAATGTTGTGCAGACCTTATTTATCAAAAATTCGAAATATTAATTAAGAAAAAATTGTTTAGTGAGGGTTATTTTACTACTAAAGAGTACATAATTGATAATAAACCCTGGAAATGAGAGTGCTACCATGCTGTTTCTTAATGTTTTCGCCCCCTCGTTTGTCCAAACGCCATATTCTGGCGTCTCAAATAATACACGCATCTGTCAAACGCCATAATATGGTATCGAGTGATATCAAACTATTTTTGTCTAAATTTGATTTAATAATGTGTTTTTTTGTAAACATCCCTATTTTTTGTCCCGTTTTCGAGTAAAGCTTTTCGACCATGTCGTAAACAAAAAATGCATGAAAAAGTTTTTTAGTTCTAATTATTTATAGTTAAATATGCTTTTGACGCACAAGTAAAACAAAAAGTACTTGGAATAAAGGCTTTAATTTTAAACCTTTGCAAAAAATTGGGGAAACAAACACTTTTCTTACTTTCACTTTCAAATTAGTATCGCTTTCGAAGACAAACAGACATAGAGGCACAGACACCGAGGTAACTCTACAAGTGATCGAATTTTGCTAAATTCAGTGCGAAACAACATTTCATGATGTTCATAAAGTG